ACAAATAACGAAATTGAAAGTATTTAAAAAAACACGTGCTGAAGGAAATTACCTAAAGGAAAAAAAAAGTGATATAAGAAGAAACTTTTCTTCAAAATTTGTGATTAATAACAATCTTTGTAAAAACATGATTAAAATGTGAGATTTTGAAATATTTCAAGACCACAGATTTGAAAAAAGTGGTTATAACAAATTACAGAACCATCTATAGAATCTTGCGGACATGTCCTGGATTTTTTAGTAAAATTTAAAAGAATTTAAAAATTTAAAAGATTTCAAACAAATTTTGAAAAGGACAAGTTCTGAGCAGAAATCCAGAATTATTCAGACATGAAGTCCTTAGAAATTGTTAGATGAATTTGGAGGGATTTCTGTGGAGAAGAATGCAAGTTCTAAATTAAATTGAAGGTAATTTTAGAAGATTTCAAAAGGAGTTGTGAAAAAATAACTTTAAGGAAAAATCCTACGTGATTCCGATGAGACTTGAATGGAGATCGTGACAGATAAATTTTAAAAAGAATTCCAAGGAAATTGTGATCAGAATTCAACAAGAAACAGAGTTCTAAGAGTGTTCTGGCAATAATTTGCTGAAAATTAGAAAAGAAAAGTTCGTTAAAATACTCCAAACGGTTTCTAAATAAAATTTCGAAAGATTTCTTCTGTTTTGAATAAAAAAGTTAAAATAACTGTTTGAAAAGATTTCCAAGGGAATCAAAGTCTCCGAATAGGTTCAAGGGAATTCTAAGAAGGATTTAATTTCAATTCTTAGAAGGAGTTTCAAGGAATATCCAAAAAGAATTTAACGGTAATTCTTACGTGGAGTGTTTTCTGGTTGATTGCCGTAAATTCCATGATAATTTAGAGCAGAGTTCCAAGTTAATTCTGGAATTCATACCATGAGCATTTTGAACAACGAAAAATTCAAACCTTGGAAAAGAATATTTCAGTTTCGGTTTTTACAAATATTTGTTTCCAAAGTCCAGCATCTTCAATATTTTCTTTTAAGAACATCTGAAAATGAAACGACGAAAATCAATTTGCAATATTGCTGAGTGATTATATTCTAAAAACAATAAGACGGGAAACAGAAAAAAAAATATACGGCAAATAGAGCAAGACATTCATTTGGTAAAGGATCACTCTATTTTAATGGTTTATTCTGAAATTCTGGTGTAAAAATTTGTTCCTATGGTATGGTTAATTTTTTTTTCCCGGATCTCTCGTCGAATTCCCGGGTTTTTCCGGGTTTTCCCGGTTACTTTTCAAATTCCCGGATATTTCCCGGTTTTCCCGGTTTGCTGGCCACCCTGGCCGTTGGTTTCCGGTTCAGGAGTTGATGGGTCGATAGGTAGGGTCCAGGTGTGGAAGCTGCCTCCCTGGCGTCGGTGGCATTGGTGCTCAGCATGGAAACAAGATCGACGGAAAACAAATCATTTGTATTGAGAGGTAATTGTATTGTTTTGCATTATGTTTGCTTTAAAATAAAATGCTTGATATAGTTTTTGGTTTATTAATCCCAAAGAAAAAAAAGGAAACGAAATGTTTGCCCATTTGTGTATTTTTGACTCATTTCCAAATTTTATTTATTTATGGGAATGAGAAGAAATAATAGTTCTGGCTGTGTTACTCAATTTAGAGTAGGTCTGGTTTTAATTAAATTGAGTGGTTTTTCACTCAATTTTAAGTAGCCACGAACGAGCGTGCGTTCAAGATGCATTTTACCGAAAAGATGTTACGGAATTTTCATCGGCGTGACATAAATTTATTCGGCGGCGTGAGCCATTTTACTGCGGCGGCGCGCCGGCTAAATTTCATCGGCGGCGGCGGCGTATGAAAATCGTCGGCGGCGGCGGCGTGGCGCGGCGGCGCACAGGTCTAGTCGCGCGGGCCATCAATGCGATAGCTAGAATCATGCCGAACAACTCTGGACCAAGCAGCAGCAAGAGGGGTCTTCTGGCTAGTGTATCGTCGTCGATACTGAGGTATGGAGGTCCAGCCTGGGATGCAGCGCTGAAAACGAAGAAGAACCAAAGAAAATTGAACAGTACGTTCCGCCTCATGGCCATGCGAGTCGTGAGTGCGTACAGAACAATTTCGACGGAAGCAGTATGCGTTATCGCCGGTATGATACCCATCGTCATAACCTTGGCGGAGGACACCGAATGCTATATGCGAAGAGATACCAGAGGAGTACGGACATTGGTGAGAACGGAGTCGATGGCTAAGTGGCAACAGGAGTGGGACGCAGCGGAGAACGGTAGATGGACACACAGGCTAATACCGATTCTTTAGACCTGAGTGAACAGGAAGCATGGAGAAGTCAACTTCCACTTGACTCAGTTCCTGTCTGGCCATGGCTGCTTCAGGAAGTACCTGCATTGCTTTGGACACGCAACGTCATCCCTCAGTCCAGAGCAGGGGTACCAAAAGTACCGGTTATCGACAGTATTTCGGCGGCTGTCGGCATTTTTCCCCTTTAACAGCCTTCTGAGTGAGCTATCCATGACAGCCCATAGTTAGGCTGTCATGCGACATGCAACGTTGCCGTCTTGTACTGTACGCGACAGCTTGCTATTTTTCATAATATATTATTCTTTCGTCGACGACAACCTCGGTTTCTCAATCATTACGTTCTTCGTAGGATTGACATACACTTCGTCATACTGCCGATTCGTTGCTGCTGTCGTTAAGTCGTGTTAGTCGTGTTACTCGTGCCGTGGTTCTTCGTATAACTTCTGCCAGTGGAACACCGAAGTTGATTCGGTTATTGATGAGTGCTGTCCATTGCCAAATTTTCATTCCTTTTCTCCATTCGTCAACTAAGCGCGGTCTCTAGCAGCAGATTAAGCTTGTTCTTCGGTGAGTGCGTACGGGTTTTTTTTTTTCTATACCTAATTTTCGACGAATTTATCAGCAACTTCCGAAATGGACTTGAATGAAGTTAATGAGGTTGACGCGGGTCGTGACGCGGCCAATCTGTGTGAAGCGAATCTAAGTGATGGCGGTAATGTGGGATCAGATCCGCACAGAGTTGAAAGTGGTGCGGATCGAAGTGATGTGGGAGAAAATGTCGCGCGTGAAAGTGGCGTGTATAGAAGCGCAGGTGAAGATGACACGCGTGGAAAAAAGAGGTCATTTAGAAGCATCGCGGAGGATTGTATGGAACTTGAGAACGGTTTTTTGATTTGTAAAATCGATGAACATTCCGAGTGTCGCTACAAGCAGAAGACGCAAAGGTTAGATTCTGGAAATTTTATTCGACATCTAAGGTCGGAGCATGCGCAGCTCGCACGTGCGCGCGGTTTGTTTAAGGATGAAAAAGGTCAGAGTGCTCTAATAAAAAAACGGCGAGTAGCGAAAGTTGGGATTGCGATCGATCAACAAACGGTAGTGGAAGCAGTGGTGCGGATGACGGGAGTTGAACATTTGCCCGTCAGCAAAATAGAGTCAAAAGGCTTTAAGATGTTGTTAGATCCCATTTGCGACTCGTTAGGAATGACTCTCAATTCCGCAAAAATGATCATGCACTTAAACGTATGTTCAGAGCATATTAAGAAGAAGATCAGCGAGGAAGTGAAAGCAAAACTACTGTGTTTGAAAATCGATTCAGCCTCCCGTCATGGCCGCCACGTATTAGGCATTAACGCACAGTTCTATGACGGTCAAGGAGTAGTCATCCGCACTCTCGGTATGTTTGATTATTTAAATTATTTCTTATTGCATTAAATCCGTTAGAGCCTCATTGGAAAAATGAGGATGTTCAATTTATTAGGAGCTGTTCATAAACCGTGAGTGTTGAGAGCTCGTCAACGGTCCTGAAAACATATAATCTGAAAAATGTTTTCGACAAAAAAACAACAAAAAACACTGGAAGAAGGGACGATTAGTGAAATCTTTGATTGCAAAATTTTAGTTTAACTTCTTTGATTTTTCTGGACTTCGTATAAAAGTATTCATAAATCCATGACTCATAAACCTATTAAAAATAATAAAAATTCATGTTATACAAAAAAAAATTGAACACATGATCGTTACTCCGTAAAATGGATTTCAATTCATATCGTAAATTTTTTTCTAAGATTCAATTGCTAAGAATAAATAACCAATTCTAGGTAAATCAACTACACAAATTTGAGTTCGGTTAACTGAAATACTTTTGTTGGCATCCCTCGTTCATGCGTTTTTTTCACTAGTTGCTTTTCCCTCGTTCTGATATCTGGGAAAATCCGGAAGCTTCAACGAAAAATTTTCTGAAAATTAACGACTATATTTTATTTTTATTTTTCTGTTTCGTTCATAAACTAATAAACCATAAACTCTACCTGTGGACAAAGTTCAATAAATTAAAATTATTTTAAATAAATACATGCTCTAAAGAAAATAGACAGTTATTACATAAACATATTTTCCATCTTTCAATGAAATGGTTGCAAATTGTAAAGAACATTTATGTGATTGCAAATAAATAAAAATCTCAGCTTCTAACGAAATTAATCATATTATTTTAAAGAAAATGATATTAACCCTAACACAGCCACAGTTTTCAATGATATTTCGATGAGAATTGGCGTTTACACGCTATAATAAAAAAACTTAAAATATTCCAAATTGTAAAATTTTATTAAAATAATGATTACCCTAATAAAATTGTTATAGTTATTTTGCTTAACGACGTGTTCCGGGTATCATCAAAACCATTTATGGAATAGTTCTATCATATGGGTTAACATATGTTTATGGTATTTTTTATGAAGGTACTCATTACAAACAATTAATTTACAATCTATACTACAAAACATAATGTTTAATGATTTAATAATTTCGAAAAATATTTTTGTAGCAAATGAGTGCCAGCAAACTTTGATTAATCTTTATAATTGTTTGCTTAGTCTCGCTGGAGTTATGAATCAAACTAGATGCAGACTTATAAGAAATTCAACTGTAACGTAACTGCAAAAAGTTAAGGATTCATCTTTTAAACTGTTCTCTTTTCAACAGCAATGCTTGAATTGAACGAGCGACAGACTGCCAAGTTCATTAAACAAAAAATAGAAGAAGTTCTGAGAGAATTCAACATCGCGCTCGATCAGGTTTTAAGGGTGACGTGCGATAACGGTGCGAACATGCTAGCGGCCGTCAGAGAACTTGACAAGTACGTACAAGTCATAAGTGCTGAAAAACTGATGTTAGACGATGAGGATGATAATTACGAAGATAATGATGAGCTGTTAAATGATATAATCAATGAGTTGTCAACTAAAGTCAGCCTTGTACGATGCGCCGTGCATACTTTGCAATTGGCAGTGACGGACGTCGTCAATCACACTGATAACCGTATCCGCAGAATAACCACCGTGGCCAAAAATTGCCGGAAAACAGCCTATAAACCTTCTTTCGATCTGAAAAATATTCCTCTCCCACCATTGTTTTCCAAAACAAGATGGGGAGGAATTTACGAAATGATTTTAAAGTTTCACGATAACGAGGAGTTTTACAGAGATCTAGGGAAGCAGTTTAAGGAGCTAGGTAAGTTAACTGGTTTGACATATAGTCAAAATTATTTCACATATTTTCATAATTTAGGTTAGCGACTGAAAGTCAATTTTTATTTGTTATATGCGACAGTTAGAAGATACTGAGAGGTTAGCACATATCATCGGCAAGAGACGTGCGTGTGAGAAAATTTGCGAAAAAAAAATCTAAGGGCACCGGTGGGATTCGAACCCACAATTCCCATTCAGTACACGGGTGCATTGCCAATTATACAACGGTGGACCTATGGTCTACGGATGTATTTGGCTAATGACATATGAGTTTCGAATCCGTTTCCCTCCCTTAGTCTTTTTGCGCAAGCGTTCTCAATACACAACAATCGTCTATTACCGACGATATGTGCTTGTACCGCAACCACTCAGTATCGGTCGATGTGAACAAACATATTTTTATAATATTTTATATTCTACTCAAGATCTGTCGGAGCATTGGGATTACATTCATGATTATAAAAACGCGTTGCAACCAGTTTATGTTTCCACAAAAGAGATGCAGGCAAAACACATGTCTGTGGGAGATTTCTACATCAACTGGCTTCGTTGCATGATGGAAGTTAAGCAGCAGCCTATGAATGAATTGGCCAAATCTCTAGCAACATCGTTGCAAACAAGACTACAGCAACTTCAACAAAATTTGCCCTTTAAAGCTGCTTTGTTAGTCGATCCCAGGTTTAATTATATCTCATCATCTGTTCTAACTTCGGAGGAGAAGGAGGAAACAAGTGTAAGTTTATTTATTTTTTATTTTTGCCGCTTGAGTACCAAGGGTGTATTGCACGAACAAAATAAATGGAAAAAAAATTTCTTTTGTGTGTTAGTGAAATTAAAGTTGCACATGGGTTATTCCAGCTCAAGTAGGTACACCACCTGTGATCGATGCCACCGATTTGAGCCAAACTTGGCCAAAACACTTATTTTGGCATTCTGAACAAACGCCTTTTTTGATTTTATTCTAAAGTGCCTAGATCCTTCTGGGCTACAACCCTGGATTTTCGAGATTTGTAAAAATTTCATCTATCAGAAGAGATCACTCCACAACCAAATAAGCTATTCGTGATATTAGAACCTCAATTGGAAGGTTTTTCAATGAAGACTCTTATAGGTGTACCCACGTTTTGTTTTTGTTATAGTAACTACAGTAAACAGGCTGATTACCAGCAGGTATCCAAATTGTCAAAAAAATAGCCTACAAGCAATTAATCGAGAGCTACCTTATGGGAATCCTGCCTAGAACATGTGTAAAGTAACATAAAAATATGATTGTGCCATCGGCGCGTGAAGGAATTAAAAAAATTAAATCACATTTATTTTCCACCAGAAAACCTCAAAACTACCTGTCACTCATCTGGTAATATCTCAAGAAGTATTTGTACAAATCAATAGCTCTTGGAAACACATCAAGTAGAAGAGTTTTTCAAAGTGTAGTAAAAATTTGAGCCCAAAATATTAAGAAATAAAAAATCCCGCCCATGGTGAAAATAGACCATTTTTTTACAATTTGGATACCTGCCGGTAATCAGCCTGTTTGCTGTAGTTACTAAAACAAATACAAAACGTGGGTACATCTATAACAATCTACATTAAAAAACCTTCAAATTAACGTTCTAAGATCACGAATAGCTTATTTGGTTGTGGAGTAATCTCTTCTGAAAGATGATTTTTTTTAAATCTCGAAAATCCAGGGTTGTAGCCCAGAAGGATCTAGGCACATTAGAGCAAAATCAAAAAAGGCGTTTGTTCAGAATGCCAAAATAAGCGTTTTGGCCAAGCTTGGCTCAAATCGGTGACATCGACCACAACTTTTTTTAAATTCTGTACCCACTTGAGCTGGAATAACCCACATGCTTATATCGTAAAATACATGTTCTTTTATCGGAATAATGAAACCAAAATATGTTATGATCACATGTTGTACTTGTAATTTAAAAGAAAAGGTGGTAAAAAGTATGTGTCGGAGTCGCAGGGGTATCTACCATTTTTAGCGTTATGTTATGGTTGGGGGTACGATTGCCATACAGCAATTCCATAGAAAAAAGTTATAGTGAGTCTCAGAATTTCGTGAAAATTGGTATAGTTCTTCCTTATCAACAAATGTTAGACTCATATTGTTTTATGCCGCCATTAGGGTGACCATTTACTTGTTAGGGTGGTCCGAAAAATCTATTTTTTTTTTTAAATACCCTTTTTCAAAAATTCATAACTTCTGAACCTCTTGACTGATTCAAATGAAAGAAGTTTTAAATTAAATTTTGAGAAAAGTTATGAAACACTCAGAGATATTTGATTTTGTATGAAAAAAATACGTTACAAATGCTTTTTCTTGATATTCACTGCGAGGGTCTTCAGCAACTTCTTATTTTAGTATTTTTAATTGAAAGATCATTTAATTTTACAAAACATTAAAAAAAATTAGATATGTCGGAGAAGTCGTTTTGGAGATACAATTTTTTTTTAAATAAAAAATATAATAATATATACACCACACGTCATGGAAACGATGAAGGCGCAAGGTAGTTCACAATTTCGCATAGAGTTGGTATGATATCCCGAATTTGTGGTTAGGCACTTCTTATGGTTATTAATTATGCGGGATATGAATGTTATCATCTATTTATGGCAGGGAGGTTGCAAGTTGAACACATAACCAAACCTGAATTACCAACCATTACTGTTCCAAATATTTCAACAATATTTTGTTTAAATACGTAATGCTTCCTTGGTCCTCAATTGTAGAGATGAACTAGCCTAAGGCTAAAAATCTCTTAAATAAAGAATTAAAAAAAAAAAACCTTGGTCCTCAAAAGATCAAGTTGTATTTTGGACATTAAATTTTTACCCTTTTTCATAGAAATTCATCATTGCCACATCAGAAAGGATTAAGTCATTGATACCTACCAAATCACCGCAAACAAGTACGACTACTGAGCAAAATACTTCAAGTTCTTATTTGGATGACTTCATGACGCGCTTTTTCGGAGGATCTCCACCATCAACATCGCAGACCAGTTCAGGAAACTCATTTGTAAAGCAAGTGAATGCTTTAGATTTGGAAACGCATCAGAACTATAAGTACGATACATGGAAGCACTGGACAGACCGTAAAGATTCACACCCTGAACTTTCAGAAGTAGCTTTCACCATTATGACAGTGCCAGCAACGCAGGTGTCTGTTGAGCGAGCGTTTAGTGCCTTGGCATTAGTATTATCACCGGCTCGAACAAAATTATCCGCTCAAAATCTCGCAAACATTCTGTTGGTTAAATTGAATGAAGAATTGGTTCACGAAATCGTTCCTAATATGTATGACTGGAAGGAGTTAAGTAAATAAGTAAATCCAGTACTAATGAAACTAATTTAAGCTTTGCTCCAAATCGAACTACGATCAAAATAAGTGATTTTGAAATAAAACTGTTCTTAAGTTTGAAAGAAAATGTTTTCAAGTGGTAATGGCATAAAATGAATTTTGGGTTGTAATCGAAAATAAATAAATTAATTGATTAATCGTAAATATAGCTGCTTGCACTTCCTAAATCATTTGAAAAAAAAAACAGAAAAATCAATCCTATTACCGAGGGGGACGACTCTATCTACGCTGCAGGAAAAATTGTGTTGTGCTGTGGCTAGCTGCTCGCACGCTGAGTAGATAGAATGAAGATTCCCTGCAAAAGATGATGCGCGATGCAAGTAGATGCAAGAAATGCAAGAAGATTTTTCCTAGATTGATTCGCTAGTGTGAGATTTTTTGAGCATTTAAAATTTAGATTTAGATGTGTGTCCCCACGCCTATTACTAGCTTTGTCCATAAGAGTGAATTGCAGCAAAACTGATACTGGTGTCATACATATATCTATATAAATAAAAATATCTGTAAAAATTAAAAATAAACATTCTGAAATGAGTTGCTGAATCTGTCACCTTCTAGCTCCCGGACTAAAGCTGTCTACAATAACCATAAATGTGACACACTGCCGGCCAGTGGGGGTTAGAGGGAAAAACACACCACACACACACACACACACACACACACACACACACACACACGCACACACACACACACACACACACACACACACACACACACACACACTCACACACACACACTCACACACACACACACACACACACACACACACACACACACACACGCACACACACACACACACACACACACACACCACGCACACACACACACACACAAACACACACACACACACACACACACACACACACACACACACACACACACACACACACACACACACACACACACACACACACACACACACACACACACACACACACACACACACACACACACACACACACACACACACACACACACACACACACACATACACACACAACACACACACACACACACACAAACACACACACACACACACACACACACACACACACACACACACACACACACACACACACACACACACACACACACACACACACACACAAAACACACACACACACACACACACACACACACACACACACACACACACACACGCACACACACATATACATATGCACTGACATCAGGTGTGATACTGGTTTTGCTGCAATTCACTCTTATATATATTTATATATATACTAGCTGAGTGTGCCCGGCCTTGCTCGGGATTCAATATTAGCTTGAGTTATGCGCCGGTTAAAAAAACATGCTATATTGTACGTAGACCCCCCCCCCCCCTTATCTAAGGGGCTACCCCCTATGACCATCTCCTTATACCTCCACATGCCAAATTTGATTCCATTTGCTTGATCAGTTAGTTATGATGAGTTATGCAGAAATTTCTGTTTAATTTGTATGGGAGCCCCCCCCCCCCCCTTACAGAGGGGGGAGGGGTCTCGAACCATCATAAGAACCTTTTCCGGCCCCAAAAACCCCTGCATACAAATTTTCATGCCGATCGGTTCAGTAGTTTCCGAGTCTATAAGGGTCAGACAGACAACAGACACAAATTCATTTATAGGGGAAATGGCTCTAATGTTGGCCTATGGATCTAACATTGGGCCCATCGCTAAAAATCTGCTATTCATCAATTTTATCTAGAAGAACGCGTCATTTGGACGGTACTAATGGATATTTTTAGTCACTATTGAAAATTTAGTCGATTGTTGAATTTATGTATGGGCCCAAATTAGGGGCATGTAGGCCGACATATATATATATATATATATATATATAGGGCAAATGTCGGCTTCGGCACCCATTGACTGTTTTCGGCAACCAAAATGTGAACGTTGATTTCACTGTATTTTCCCATCAACACACTTAGCTGAATGTATTCACACGATTCCTTAGTCTTTCAGCTTCAATCTGATTTCAGATTTACGACTTAGCAATCCCATTATGTCAGTTTTTTTCTTTAATTGAAACATGTTCACTACAAAATGCAGCTGATTTCGAGTTGCCGATAATAGAACAGCTGGTTAACACGCAGTTCAAATGGAAAGGCTGCCGAAGAAAAAGAGGCTGCCGACTATAGTCACACTCACCTGAGAAGTTTGGAGCGTTGTAAAAACGTTTTCAAACAGTTTTGGACAATTCTGTCAATTGGAATGGATAGAGACGCAAGCAGCAGATAATTGTAAACAAAGAAATACGTCATACGTGTGCGTGACGATGAGAAAATACTAATAGAAGCGCGGACGCTGCTTAGATTGACGAGAATACGTAAATTCCCCTATATATATATATATATATAGGGGAATTTACGTATTCTCGTCAATCTAAGCAGCGTCCGCACTTCTATTAGCATTTTGTCAGCGTTACGCACATATATCACGTGTCTGTTTGTTAACATTCATCTGCTGCTTGCTTCTCTATCCATTCCAATCGACAGAATTTTTCAAACCGGTTTGAAAGCGATTTTACAACGCTCCAAACTTCTCAGGTGAGTGTGACTATTGTCGGCAGCCTCTTTTTCTTCGGCAACCTTCCCATTAGAACTGCGTGTTAACCAGCTGTTCTATTATCGGCAACTCGAAATCAGCCCCATTTTGTAGTGCGTATACTTCATTTGAAGAAAAATCTGGCATAATAGGATTGCTCGGTCGTACAAATATAATCAGATTGAAGCTGAAAGACTAAAGAATCGTTTGAATACATTCAGGGAAGTGTGTTGATGGGAAAACATAGTGAAATTATCGTTTAAATTTTGGTTGCCGAAAACAGTCAATGGGTGCCGAAGCCAACATTTACCCTATATATAGATTTTTAATTTATAAATGTACTACGACGCGGCACAAAAAAAAACAGCGGAATGTGTGATAGTTCCACTACTGGCCAAATTCTTGATCTCACATGCAGGCTTAAATATTCACGTCGTAAATTTCATTACCAACAGACGCGAAATACACTCGCCTTAACCCGGGCGCCTATTCTATGATACCACAACATATCAGAACATCATGTTGATCTTGTGTGGCGTAAGGTGAACGTCGGCATGTCATTTTGACATTCTAGCAGATGCCACACCGCCGCCACAACAGCGGACACCCTGCCTTTAGCCACGCGCTCACTGATGTGGCGGAGGTGTGGTATCTGCTAGCTGTCATCATGTTGACGTTCGCCACACGTCACACTATTTCGACATGATGTTTTCACAGTTGTGTGATGTACATCGGCGCAACACCAGTGGGCGCCTGGCATTACAGATCTCCAAAATGGAAAGCCAAAAACAGAATAGAATGCGCGTTTCCATCCAAAAAATGTATTTTCCTACCCAGTAGGAATTGGGAAACACGAGTCATTCGTAGTTGTCGCTCGCTAGCACAGCTATAGGCCTAGTCACCTAGCTAATCTCGTGACAGCCTTCTCGTAACAGCCGACTTGGGTAGTGAAGGCTATCCCAGCGACAGAATCAACGAAATAGCAGACATAATACAATGGAAACAGCCCATTCGGCTCACTACGTTTAAAGCACGACGGTGTCAGCAAAGCTGGCGTAGCAGTGACTGTACCAAATCTGGGTTTCTTCCATACTCCACTGCCGTATATCAATTGTATATAATATCTCGTAACATCCTTTTCGTGACAGCCGACTTGGGTAAGCTGAGGGATGTCGTCGGTTTGTGAAGGCTGTCGTGGCGACAGAAACATTGAAAACCTGGTCATAAAGAAATGTATACATACAGCCCATTCGGTTCACTACAGTCCAAGCACGATGATTTTAACAAAGCAGGTATATATGCGACTGTTCTAATACAGCTTTCATTCGTTCGTGCGTGCGCTGTTGCCAATACACTTCGGATTCAGATCCGAACGTACGGTAGCAAGCGGTAGTAAAGCACACAAAGCAACAGTCGATTCAGGTATAAACCAACTGTCGCGAGAAGGCAGTACTATTTGGAAGCCTGGTCCAGAGTGAACGAAACGCCGGAGAACGTAGCTTTCGACTGCACAAGATTTTAGGCAGTGCGAGTGGAGATGCCGGCCCTTAGCGCGAGAAATGTCGTCAGTGAAATGTGCCGGGATGAGAGGACGTGGAGCGTTGTCAGCAGGGCAGTGACGCAAATTTTGTCGGAGCTGCAGCGAAAATGGAGAGATGATAAGCGAGTTAGCAACGCCGGCTAGCTGAGCTAAAGAGAGCAGCTTCAGGGAGTAAGAGAACGGATGTCGTTTTCGCTGGTCTCCAGGATGATGTAGGTGAAAGTGAAATGTCTGAGCTGGATCCGAAAAAACGAAAAATTAGTGCTCAAGTAAGTGGCCATCTAAGCGGCCAACTGAGCTGTCAACAAAATCAGAAGGATGAATAGAAAATCGTTAAAAGTTGCAACAGTAAATTTAAACGGGATCGTGTGTAAGGAAAAGCAATCGTTAGTAAGAAATTTTGTTAATTTCAATGATATTGACATAGTTTTTTTTTCCATAAATGAACGTTACATCATCGTCATTTTTACCAAATTATGAAATTATTCTCAGTTACAGTAGTTTGAGTCGATCTACGGCAGTGGCCATTCGGATTTTTTTTACCTTTTCTGAATTAATAGTAGACCCTAACGGCCGAATTATATCTTTGATTATTAATGGAATCAATTTCATCAACATCTATGCACAGTCAGGATATCTAAACAAAAAAGAAAGGAATGATTTTTTCACAGAAAGCATAGCACTACACTTAAATAAGAACTTTGACGGTCTGGCTATAGGAGGAGATTTTAATTGTTGTTTACAAAAGGAGGATAGTAGAGGAACCAATAATTTCTGACAGGGTTTGCAACAATTGGTTAACAAAATGAAGGTTACAGACGTGGCCAAATTTTTGTCAAAGAAACCTGCTTTCACTTTTTCCGAGGAAATAGTGCATCAAGACTGGATAGATTTTATCTTTCCACGAATGTACTAGATAAAGCTTGTGAGTTGAGAACAGTACCTCTTGCTTTCTCAGATCACCATGCGGTAATATTAAAGATTGAGATCAATGAGCTTCCTAGCCCGGCTACAACGAAATCAGCCTACTGGAAACTAAATTCTGCAACACTTAAAAACGATCAACTTATCTCAGATTATAAATCGAACATTGAAAACTGCAAGCGCAGATATAAATATCAAACTGACTTTAATTCATGGTGGAACACAGATTTCAAAACAACTACAAGAAATTTCTTCAGAAGTTACACTATTAATAGGAACATTAGTATAATGAATGAAAAGAGCATTTATTATCAAGCCATGCAAGAATTTTCAACCAGGTTAAACGCAGGATATGACGTTCATTCAGAAATGGACTTCATTAAAAAAAGATTATTTGAAATAGAAAAACAAAAACTTCAGGAATTCTCTCAAATTCTCTAGTTGAAGAAGAGAAAATGGGAATTTTTCAAATTGCTCAACTAAATGATAGGAAACAAACAACGTCACGTCTAAAGATCGAAGATGAAATAACAACCGATAGCAATAAAATAAAAAAATAAATTTTGCAAGTACTACAAATCTATTTTTGAAAACAATCATAATAACTCTGACTCTTTGGATTATCAATCTATGAACTTCATCACGAAAGGATTGAAACTTGAACAAAAAGAATATTTGATAAGAACGATAGATGAGGAGGAGTTAGCATTCGTTTTAAACAATGCATCAAAGAAAAAATCACCTAGATGTTATGGACTATCGTATGAATTCTATTTAAAATTTTTTGAAATTCTATAAAAGACCTTTTAAACCTTTTCAATAGTTATCTCATTCAAGGAATCGTGCCGCCCTCTAGCTTTAAAGATAATGTGGTAACTTTTATACCAAAAGCTAGCAACCCATCAGTACAAGACTTTAGACCAATATCCTTACTGAACACAGATTATACAGTCAGGAATCTTTATTGTCGGATCCTTATTGCTGGGCTATCCGCGAATAAGGATACCCACACTATCCACTGTAAATCAATTTCGGACACAATTTTAAAATCCAAGATGGCGGTCATCGATACTAGAAAAACTGTAAAATACCCTACAATATGGGTATTTTCGGCAAGGGAACGCCGTGTAGAGGCTGGAAATCGATGCCAGACACCATTTTGAAATCCAAGATGGTGGCCAGCGGTTCAAGAAAAACTGTCACATACGCTGCAATACGGGTATTTTCGGAAAATGGATGACGTGTAGAGGTTGGAAATCGATGCTAGATGTCATTTTAGAATCCAAGATGGCGGCCATCGGTTCAAGAAAAACTGTCAAATACCCTACAATATGGGTATTTTCGGAAAGCGGATGACGTGTAGAGGCCGGAAATCGATGCCAGATGTCATTTTGGAATCGAATATGGCGGCCATTGGTCCAAGAAAAACTGTCAAATACCCTACAATGTGGGTATTTCGGGAAAGAGGACGACGTGTAGAGGCCGGAAATCAATGCCAGATGTCATTTTGGAATCCAATATGGCGGCCATTGGTTCAAGAAAAACTGCCAAATACTCTACAATATGGATATTTTCGGAAAGGGGATGACGTGTAGAGGCTGGAAATCGATGCCAGACGTAATTTTGGAATCCAATATGGTGGTCGTCGGTTCAAGATAAATTATCAAATACGCTACAATATGGGTATTTCCGAAAAGGGTACGACGTGTAGAGGACGGAAATCGATGCCAGACGTCATTTTGGAATCCAAGATGGCGGCCATCAGTTAAAAAAAACTGTCAAATATCCTACAATATGGGTATTTTCGGAAAAGGGATGACGTGTAGAGATCAGATATCGATGCCACCCGCCATTTTGAAATCGAAGATGTCGGCCTTTGCTTTAACGTAAACTATTTATGGGGATGACGTGTATAGGCCCAAATTCGATGTCTGCCACCATTTAAGGATCCAATGGCTTTCGAAGGGATATTTAGTGGCTATAGACAGCCTCGTATCAGTTCAGCCCAGTTAACGTGGAGCGTTTACGGGGTAGGTTTGGTGATAATCCATTAAGAAGATGAATTTGATCTAATTAATGTTTTAGGGTATTTTGGAGCTCAAAATCTTGCCTCGCATTAACTTTTCTGAATAATGCTTACCAAGCATATTGTGTGTAATTTGTATAATGTGTATAACGTATCATTGAGCAAGATGGCAACGTTTCGACATTCTTTAGCAAAACTTGCATTTTTGCACTCTGTTTGACATTATTTTCCAATGTGCAGAAGCTTTCGAACTCGGAGAGTTGATTTATTTTGAACTCGATTTCTGCCATGGTGGAATGAAAATATAATCAATATTAATTGTAGATGGGTCCATTTTGCTAACAATTTCATCTGTTGTAGGCGGTGCATCTCTTATGATTTCGTTGATTTGACCGTGTTTCTTATCCCCGGTGCACCAAAGTGTTCGTGAATTTGTTGAATTTCGGACATGATCTTCAAATCTTCGTTGTCGTCTTCATTGCATTGTGAATTTGCGAAATACGACGGAAGAATTTTTTTCAAGCAGTTTCAATCAAGTTTCGGGTCATAGAAAAACAAACCCGTTTTTTTTTTGTAAATCAACCGTAAATAAAGTTGATCAAAAATTTTAGTTGTTGTTCCTCCTTCAATCAACCTTTCTTCTAACTTGACCGCTCTGAAATGTTCTTTCGCCTATCTGTGAGTCGTCTTCTCCTTCACTTTCAACTTTATATCGTGCTCTCCGTTGCATTTCACTATACGTGCCTGACCTAAATTTGTCCACAAACTTTCCACAAATGCCCAAAGCACAGAATACTAAAACTCACTTTTACGCACTTTCTAACCGATGCTTTATTGTTTGTGATTTTCTATGCTACCTTCCGTTCCAAATTCACTGCAGCGATGGAGCAGGGCAACGGCCAGTGTTGCCAGAACAAACGTGCTTTGTTTTATATCCTTTAGAACCAAATCCAAGCAGTCGAAACAATTCTTGATGCTGAACTACTTTCGTGTATCCACTAGTGAAAGGCCTTCATTATCTGCTGTTTCCAGAATAAACCTGTAGCTTCTCTTGACATACTTCAGCTTGAAATTTTTGATGATGACTTGATCAAGCGGTTGAATCAAATACGTGATCTTTGGTGGCATGTATAGAAGCATTATGGTGAGATTGCTTATGGTGGGTGGATGCAACGGAGCGTTACCAAGGAGCAGCAAAGCCTTGAAGCTAATGTTCTTGGCTGCACAAAACTCCTCCGTCGTCCCCTACACGTCATTCCCTTTCCGAAAATACCCATATTTTAGAGTATTTGACACTTTTTCTCGAACCGATTGTTGCCATCTTGGATTAGAAAATGGCGTCTGGCATCGATTTATAGTCTCTACACGTCATTCACTATCCAGAAATACCCATATTGTAGAGTATTTGACAGTTGTTTTGAACTGGTGATCGACATCTTGGCAAATGTCGTCTGGCATTTATTTCTGGTCTCTACACCATCCCCTTTCCAAAAATACCCATATTGTAGGGTATTTGACAGTTTTTCTTGAATCTATGACCGCCATCTTGGATTTTAAAATGGCGTCCGAAATTGATTTACAGCCTCTCTACACGTCATCCCCTTTCCGAAAATACCCATATTGTAGGGTATTTGACAGTTTTTCTAGAACCGATGGCCTCCATCTTGGCCTTTCCGAAAATACCCATATTGTAGGGTATTTGACAGTTTTTCTTGAACCGATGGCCTCCATCTTGGATTTTAAAATGGCATCTGGCATCGATGTCTGGCCTCTACACGTCGTACCCTTTCCGGAAATGCCCATGTTGTATGGTATTTGACAGTTTTTATTGAACCGATGGCCCCCATCTGGGATTCTAAAATGTAGCCTGGAATCGATTACCGGCCTCTACACGTCATCCCCTTTCCGAAAATATCCATATTGTAGGGTATTTGACAGTTTTTCTTGAACCGATGGCCGCCATCTTGGGTTCTAAAATGACATCTGGCATCGATTTCCAGCCTCTACACATCATCCATTTTCCGAAAATACCCATATTGCAGCGTATGTGACGGTTTTCTTGAACCGCTGGCCGCCATCTTGGATTTTAAAATTGTGTCCTCGCATTGCACAGCAACATCTTAAATGGACAAGTTTTCCAGAAATA